TTGACAATAGCAGTGACCTTTTAATAAGTAATACATTTTTTTATCTTAAAAAGTAAAAAGGAACAAATACGTCCTGTTATCCCAGTGCTGTTCTAAGGTTAACTCTTCATTGGCTGTTAATGCTTGCTCATACACTTAATCTAATATTTATATCCAAAATATTCATGTTGAAATCTTGCTCTCGGTTTTAAGTTTACAAACTAGATGAACAGTTTGACAAATTAATGTTTAAGGTCTTAATTTAAAGACAATATAAGGGGTTGGGGACTAGTTCAGTGGTAGAGCATTTGCCTGGCATGCATGGTTCAACTCCCAGTATTATGATAAATGAATAAATGAACAAATGAATGAATGAGTGGGAGTGGTGTTGAAAACAAAATTGAGTATTATCATTTGGAATATGTGTTTTTAGAGCAAGTGTAATGAAATGGTAGGTAAAGTTGTTTACACATTTGTATACATTTATATTCTGAATAACATGGATCTAAGAAATGTCAGCCATTCTTTTTATTTCAGTTTGTGAGCTGTACATCAAAGAGTAGTCTTTGCTAGAAAAACCTAAGAGATCTGTAGCACATGATACTAGAAGATGTCACTTTGCCTTTTTGATTCACACTCTGTCTCCAGTCTTGGACCACCTTTTGCTTACCTAAAATAGCAGTGTTCAGTTCAAACTCAATGTTAAAGGAGGCATTGAGTTTCTTCATTTTCTCAATAATATCTATAGACTTGGTGTACGATATAAATCTGATTCTGATTTTAGTAGAATCACCCCCATTTTCTGGTGGTAGCAGATGGACAGTTTATTCTAGTGACAGGAATTATTCTATTCTCGTTTCATATCCCTTTTGGGGGGGGGGGCATGGGGAGTGTTGCAAATTGAACCCCAGGGCTCTGAACTACATCCCCAGCTCTTTGTTTTAATTTGGGAAAAGGTCTTGCTAAATTGCAATCCTCCTGATGTAGCCTCCCAAGTTGTCATGATTACAGATGTGCTTTAATCAAGCTGAGTTTTTCCTTTCCTTTCTTTTTATGTAGTACTGGTTATTGAACCTAGGACTTCATACATGCTAGGCAAATGTTCTACCACTGAGCTAACTATATCCCTTAGCCCTCAACTTTCCCCTTTTCTATCTTTGTCTCCAAACTTTAATTCTCAATGGTAGTATGTGTTCTTTTCCCCAGTTTTTTAAAAAAATACTCTTTAGATTTTCCTATCTTAGTCAAGCCCTTGGTAAAGCTTAAGAAATGAGTAAGTATAGGATTGTAGAAGTCTGCTGACCATGATCTCAAGTTACCTATAATAGCAGAGTGGATGTTTGAGGGGAATGTTGGGAAGCCTCTGGCAAACTTTAATTTCTAATTTTCTTTCACCATCAAAATGTTATATGAGGGTCATGTCATTGGTGGATTCTCATAATAGAATTCTGCTGTCATGTGGTATATGGGAAGTGCTTCTAAGATCCTGCCATAGATGGGAGGGGTGAAAGATAGGGATGGTGTGTTCTGTAAACAGGAAATGTCCAGCACACTCTCTTAATTAAAAACTCGTGGGGCTGGGGATGTGGCTCAAGCGGTAGCACGCGCACGCCTGGTATGAATGCAGCCCGGGTTCGATCCTCAGCACCACATACAAACAAAGATGTTGTGTCCGCCAAAAACTGAAAAATAAATATCAAAAGTTTCTCTCTCTCTCTCT